CTGTAGGATTCGGGAGTCTTTTCGCGTTTCATAGTTAATTTGATATCGAGAAGATTTTATTATTTATTTGAAGATGTGATTTGCCGGTGATTTAAAATTTAGCTTAGACATGAGAATCCATTTATCTGTTTCGTTTGCATTCACTAATTTTTATTTTCCACTTTTTATTTTATTTTTGTTTTGTTTTAATCTTTATTTTTGTCGCCTATATGGTTGTGGAAGTGCGTAATGGACCGTGCTATTAACTTAAGTTTAAAAAATGTTTGGGCAGTGTTGCACCTTTTTTTATTTTTTTATTTATTTTTATTTTTTTTTATTTTTTTATTTTTTTATTTTTTTATTTTTTTTAATTTTTTTTTGTTGATGTGCCATGTGCTAATTTAAGAGAAACATTAAACAGTGCCTTATTGTCTACCCATTTAGTATTGTTAATCAGTTATCTCTACAATGCTTACCTACTCCTCATTAAATGTTTATCACGTATATGTAGTCCTGTCTATCATGCTAAGTTCATACGTTTGCATATTCTTACTGTAATCCTTGGTTAGCCGTAAAAATGTTCATGTTCCCCTCCAATTAGGGTAGTCCTACCTTCTTAAATTAATCGGGATTATTAGGTGTCAGTCACATGGACGGTTCTAGTTATTTCCTTTATTTGGGATTCCAATATTATGCTATGACGTGGAATTTTATCTTATTCTAATTCATTTTCTTTTGCCTTGTTTATTCGCATGCAAATATGTCGGAGTTCTTCATGAACTTCTATCTCCTTCCCTTGCATTTTGAGAGAGCCATAAAGGCTCCAAATTCCTTTATCGAGTCAACCAGCCAGCTATAAAAGTCGACGAACAGGTCTCGGAGGTGGAAGGATGTGAAAACGGAGGAAAATTAAAAAGATTGGGCCGAGGGCCCACTCTTAATTTCAAATTGTATTTTGTTATTGGGCCTAAGCCCATTTAGTTGTTATTCTTATTCTTGTTAGTTCTTAGGACAGGTGCCACTCAAATGGGCCAAAGGCCCAAAACGAAAAATGGACCCAAATACTGGTCCAGGTGGACAGAAACCAGATTTGGGTCCAACTCTCTTTCCCTTTTTACTTTACTGTGTTTGTTTTGCGTGTTAGTATTTGTCGTTAATCTTTGGGTCGAAAGGTTCAAATCCCCAAAAGACGCTCATTCGTTTTAACAACTTAATTAAACCGATCATCTTTCGAAAGGCTTAAGAGAATAAATTTCAAAAGGTATCTCACTTAGGTCGTAGGTCAATATTTCCCTTTCTCCCTTAAAAGTGTCCTAACTAACAAAATAGTTCAATTTTGCAAGTCAAGCTAAATTAAAATTATTTTAGCCAAATAAATTAGTTGTCGGATAACCGCATTAGCGGATATTCTAGGTGCTTTAAAAACCTTCCTAGAATATTAATAAGAACCCATGAACCCCCCCTTAAGTATTTTCAATTGGTTCCCTGTTTTAATCTATTGAAAATAAGTTTTCTTAATTTTCCTGTAAAAATTAAGTGGCGACTCTTAAACCAGTCTTAAGTATATTTTC